CTCCTTGCTATCACAGGCCTCGCAAAAGCCGAGCTGGCAATCACAGAGAGGCATGACTTCGCCACAACATCTACATCGCTGACCGCCCAGGCCTGTCGGGTCTAGCCTTCCTCTGCCTCGCTTCCGGCTTGCCCCTGTGCACCTGACGCACAGGCATCGCATCACATGCCCATCCACACTCAACACGGCACTCTCTGCCCCCCGACACTCTGGATATCCCTCGGTGGCCCAGTCACTCACTGCACCGACACGCTTCAATGGGCCAACTGTGCCTTCGCCTTTGTTGCCTCGGGCGCCGGACCTCGTTTCCCAAAGCATCCCGACTCACCGTCTCCAGAGAGGAACTCGGCCCGCCACCCGCGTGATCACGACCAGCCGCCTCTTTGGGTCACGTTGTATGTCCCTCCACCGGTTCCCAAAAAGAGCTTCTCAGGCAGATGCCGGATAGCCATCCGAGCCCTGGCTTTCCGGAGGTGGGTCCTTGCAGCACGCAAACCCCGCCCGGAGACCAGATGCTGAACACGAAAATCCCTTGAAGTATCGCACCAAATGGCATCAGGCACGTGCAATTCGACAGATTTTACAGAAGCTGGATCGAGACGTTGAAAACTGGAAGACAACGAAGGCTCTACCTGGCTGTCCGGAAGCGGTTCAGTGGCCACCGGACCTCGGACATGTGGCGACCCTAGGCCCGAAATCTGCGGAAGCAGCGAATGTCGGCTTCCGACTGGACGGGATGGTCTCCTCGCAAGGAATCGGTTGAAAGCCATACTCCCCAGAAGCTTTATCATCTCAGAGTCTGTTGGCTGATGCTCTTTCGATCCTGGGCCGCTTCTGCAAAGACCCTCGGCAGGCCATACTGTCCACGGAAGCGCATACGTCCCACAGTCTTCACATGGTGTTCAGTCGTGTTGCTGAGGACTCGTGTCCAGCTCATGACTCGCGTGGGCTTCATCACCTGCTGCAGCCTGGCGACATGCGAGATGCGGAGCGCTGCACTGCTTCATGTGCACTCTGCGTGAAGCCGTCTAGGATTTACTCACCTGCCTTGCTGGGTTTCGCAGGCCGCACAGGCCCTGGTCCCAAGCAGGGCGATAGAGCCGGAGCAGGTCATGAAAACCGAGAAAGAGATTGAATGGATCTTGATGACGTGCTGAGTCACGGATAAAATACGAGAATGAAATTGAATGGATCTTGATGACTTGATGAGTCATGGCATGCAAGTACGAAAGCACAGATGCATGCAGCCAGGTCAGCGTACCCTTCGTCTTCTGTGAGGCACAGGCATGGTCAAACTCTGAGGGAAACCAACTGGTAGGAGGTGTGATCTTCTGACTGCCAGGCTCTGCTAACTAGACTTCACAGCTGGCTTGTCCAAATTCCAAATCTCATGTAACATTGAACTGAACCTGCAAACTGCAAAGATGCCTGTTGCAAGTGCCAAATGGGAACGAATGTGACGTGACATGTCAGCTCACGACACGGAATCTAAGTCTTGTAAGGTTCAAGGGGGCGTAGTCCTGGCATGCAAGCTTCCAAAACGAGATACGAGATGATTGGCCCTTCTTGTTTACGCGCTTTCTTGCATTCACTTGCCAACCTGAAAGAGCTCTCTCTGTTGCGTCAGAGTTCTGTGTAAGCTGGGAAAGGACGCTTGTTGTTCGCCGTGCGAGTGCTCATCCGGTTCGTGTTTCGATAAACGGAGGAAGGCCTGTTAGGACTGGAGACGCCCCGCAGAAAGAAAAGGAGCTTGGAGCTTGTCGGCTTTGCTCAGTTTTGGCTACAGACTTCCTCTTACAGTCATGAACAACATGAGGAGGCATGGAAGGAAGCATGAGCAGCCTCCATGACTCATGACGAGATGTGAAAGTCTAGGCGTATCACATGCAAGAACAAACGAAGGCGGCACAAGTGCTCTTAGCATCCGGCTTGCATCATCACCTGCGGCCAAGTATGGATATGTTTGGGGGCTCATCGCCAATGCACAACAAGTACAACTGCACTTGGTCCCCAACTGTCAGAGCTGTCTGCGAGCAGCCGCGCACGTGCATTGGTGGGCACTTTCTCCTTGCGGCTGTACACGGATTGCTCTTGGCCAACAAGAATCCTGTGATAGTTTGCTCCCTGAGCGGGCCTGTCGACGAACTCGGATGGGTGACGGAGGAGACTCTGGTGCCTCTGGAACGCATACTCGAATCGCAACAAGCATTTGTGAGGCCGTGCCTCATCCTCATCTCCCTCCTCCTGTGCTCCTTGCAGCTGCAACGGGGATCCCCTGTCTTCAGAAACGAGATTGAAGGCTTCTGGCCTTCAGTGCGCCCCTCGGCACCGTGCTCAAGCGACCTGTCCAAAGAGGCAGATGGCAGAGTCTGCCACAAGCGACCCCCCGTCATGCCAGACTGCTGCTTCCCACCCCGATGCCCCTCTCAGCAGGTCTTGCCAGACTGCGATACTGAACTGAGACGAGAAACTCAGATTCGAGTTGCATCCTTCGAAGGCGGCCAACCTCGCCGGGCACCGCATTTTGCGGACTTTGCATTGAGGATCCGACAATTTGACGGAGTCGCTTCTTTTTCTGCAACTCTAGAACCCTTTTGTTCTGAAGGAAGGAGACTAAGTTGAGACAGGCCAGCTTGAGACACATGAGGTGACATCCGGGCTGACACAGAGCCTAGGACGTTCGATGAGAACCGATGTCTGTGCCAACACTCCATTGGACATATATGAAGTCTGCCGCTTGGTCTGACGCAGGATCTGACATACGATGCCTCGCACAATTCGACATGTCATCCACCACATATATACTGACGTACGACGACCTGACACGAGAAGCTGGGAAAGCTGATTATCTGACGAAACATATGCTGCACAACAGGAAGTGGAAGTTCAACCATCACAGCTGTGGACCTAAGGTTTCAGAACCGCATTGCGTCGTTGCCAGTTCGGTGGGCTACACTGCAAGAAGAGCACATGAGAGGAGGCAACGATGCACGGAACCTTTGTCCACAGATCCGCATCTCACTTGGAGGGTTGCACCGTAGGGGCAGTGCAGGCTCTGACTGCATTGCACGGGCGACCTTTGCAAGTCGAGAAATCTCGTTTCTCCCCTTGGCAACGCGACAGCTCAGACCGCGACATCGGATCCCACCCTCCCGCGGCCCAGATGAGATCCATCAGGTGGCCCGGCCTCAAAGCCAGACCAGATGCTGGACAGCGAGAGCGGCATCTGAAGTTGCCGAGAGCTTCCGACACCGGCCAAATCCCATAGGGCTCTACCGACATCTGTCCTGCGCTCCAGGGCTCACGTAAGCACTCACTTCGCAACCATCAAGGCGGCTCCTGTGGAATCCAGGCCTCGGGATCGGCAACACATTTAGACGCCAGCTGACAGCAACGAATTTCGGCTTCTGCGCTTCTGCCACTACAGAGACGAGCGATAATCCCTGGCTCTAGGCTTTGCACGATGCAGGGTCCACTGGCATTGGCCGGCACGATGCTCATGGTATGCGCTCGGCCTCCGCTGGGTGGCCTCCCGTCGAACTGATCAGACTCTACAACCAAGCAGCGAAAGCTCTGGAAGCCTTCGCCAGGATCAGCCATTCTTGTGCCCATCCCCGCTTGAGCCAGGAGTGCATGTGCCATCAAAACTCTGCGCTTCACAATCTCTAGCCAGTACTTTCAAGCTGGGATCCACCTTCACGCAGTGCGGCACTGGACCAGGAAGTGCACTAAGCCAGTTGGAACACATGGCATTAGAACCAGACGTGTACGAGCTGGTGTGCTTGTCCAGCGATTATTGCAGCTACATGCACCTCGTGAGTGCCGGAGCTAGACGGAAGAATCAAGCTATCAACTTGAAGTGGAGCTTTCACAGAAGACTTCCTCTTGTTTTCATCTCGCTCAACGCAAGCCGTTTACTTCCACTGGTTGCTCTAGTGGAATGGCTTGCAAAGGATGTAGAAGAGCTCCAAGCACGTGCCCCTGGAGTAGCGGTGACAAACGCAACCGAACATGCTCAGAAGCAGATCAAGAAGACGAACAACAAGCGCAGGTGCCTATTGCAGTTGAGGCACCGGGAGAGTCGCCGCAAAGGATGACTCATCCACCAGGAGCAGCTCGGCAGACCCGCTCCTGACTCGGCGACTTCCAGGCTACCACAATCTGCCGGCCTGCCCGAAACCCTAAAGCCTAATACTTCCGCGAATACCAACACCAATCAAATCAGCGTTAGGACCGAGGCAAGGACGAGGCGTCTTGCCGCACAAACAGGGACGTTGGCTTGAACCTGCAAGCCTTGGATCCAATGCTCCACTCCCAAGCCTTGGCTACTTCCACACAATCGCAAAAAGCAAAAGCTGACATTCATGTGTGTATATGTTCACACATATATATATATACATACACCTATATATATATATATATATAGATATATATTTGGTCAGCCCCCCCCATGATCTACCTCCGTCGTTCTTGGGTATGTAAAACACATGGAAACCACCGTAAATACCCATGACTTTGCGGTTTTCAGAAACTCACAAATCCAACCGAAACTGTGTCACAAAATCGGTGG